TTCAAAGCTTCTGTGGTCTAAGGGAAATGTATGTGTAGTTTATGATAAACATGCCTCACATTTAGAGTCAGCTGACGTCTTCTGAGGAGACACAGCGAGGGCTTCAGTCTGAAGCTCGTCAGCTGAAAGCATCGATCAGGAAGTATGAAAACCTGGTGGAGAAGTACAAGAAGAAGGTACAGACACACGCTCACTTTAAATACAGATTTAACATGAAAGTCAGATGGTACTTTGTTCTTACATATTATAACTTTTAAAAATGACTTTAAAGTCTCTGTGCTGAAATCGAACCCGTGTCGGGGTGATAAACCTCTCTGCAGGTCCAGCAGGCTCGCCTGGAGTCCGAGGAGTACTGCCTGAAGCTGGAGGCGGTGCAGAAGGAGGCGCTAGACGTGCACGTCAGCCTGGACAGGGAGAAGGAGCAGGTGAGGCGGGAGCTGCTGGGGCGGCTCAGAGAGCTCGAGACTCTACCGGACAGATTGAGGAAGACCGAGCAGCAGCTCCGAGAAGCCCAGCAGGAGGCTGACGCACGCGAGAGGAGGAACATGGAGAATAACTCCGCCCTCTCTGAAGTCAGGCACAAGGTAGAGGTTTCATTCAGACCCAAAAGACCCAGCACACTTAAAAATCTGGAAAGATTAACAAGTTTGATGAATATAATCCATGCAGAGTGTCCCCAGGAACCCGTCATGGCTGACATGTTCCACTAAACGTTTTCCTTTGCAGGTGGAGCAGCAAGGCACTCAGCTGGAGACGCTTCAGCAGAGGAACCTGCTGCTGCAGGAGGAAAACAACGTCTTGAAGGAGAAAGTGTACAACTTCGAGAGGTAACAGTCACAGAGAAACTGCATTTAATGGACATTATTCAATTCAAGTTTATTTATATACCGCAGAGCCAAATCACAACAACAGGTGCCTCAAGGTGCTTTATATTGTAAAGATCCTACAGTAATACAGATAAATCTGTATTATATCTGATCTTTTCCATGCTGTGACACTAGATTTGTGTGTTGGTTGCAGGAGGTTGGAGGGCTTGAAGGCAGAAAACAGAGAGATGTCTCAATCTCTCGCTTCGAAGGAAGCCAGTATCCACAGCATCCAGCAGCAGCTGGAGGAGAAGAGTCACGAGTGCAGCGTCCTGTCCAGACAACTGCAGCAAACTCTGGACGACGTACAGAAACAGGTACAGACACGTGGAGTCACGGAGGTCTCACAGTTCCACAAAACATCACACACCAGACGGGTGAATGGGTTAGCGATGTGCGATGAGTTTAAAGCCAGAGGTTTCAGTATCAAGACGGTGGCTCTCCTTCAACTTCTTAACAGCTACCAAGATGCTGCTGAACTGGTTAGAAGTGGAGTTTGGTTCACATCTACCTCGCCCAATAAAATTCTCCTAATAGAATAACTGTAAAAGGAAATGCATGTAAGAGAAGTGATTTGACAGGTAGCATCACTCATGATCCTGGACTTCCCAAACTCTAAAGTGTTCAGCAGTGACCTGGAGGATGTTAAGAGATTGCCATGGTTACTGGTGCTGAACACTTAAGCTTTTCTGAAGCAGGTTGCGTTTGGAGTTTTGGTTTAAAATCAGCTGGAGGCTCCACAGTGTCACTAATTCTTTTATTTTGATTTAATAGCTTTTATACCTGTCCCCGGATTGGGAAGGAGGGATGGATGTTTTATGCATGCACACTGCTGATCTGTATCTCACTAACGTCACTGAGTGAAGTCCTGCTGTGCAAACACTGACACACAGCTTGCACGCATTAACTTGGTGATGCAGAAGGTGTTTGGACTGCTGTTAAGTCTGCAATTAAAGCAGTAAAAACTTAGACTGCAATTGAGATTAGAAAATCAGTCGGTCGACTTTGTTACTACATACATTACTTATTGCAGGCAATATAAATCAGTACATTTAATTTCACATTGATGTGGTCAAAAAATCTAATGATTTCCATCTCTCCTTCATTGGTCTGTGGGTCAGTCAGAGCTGAACACAGCAAGCAATCTTTAACTTAAATGGCGAAACAAATGTGTTAACTTGTGATCGAGCAAAATTGTCCTTAAGTCAATTAAATCAGACTTTTTTTTTTATATATTTGCGCGATTAATCCTGTTAAGGCTCAAAACTTTGGTTGGTGTTTCTGTTCTGTATTAAACTGATGATCCAGAGTTTACACCTCCTCAATGTGAGCTGTGTCCACGTCCACACTGACTGCTGATCATTGAGTTAAACTGGGGTAAAAACTAAAGCTTTGATTTAGGTGTTTGTACACACTCACTAAAGATAAGGTCAAAGAAACTAAATCATCAGTTTTTCCCTGAAGGATTTCGGTGCTCATATGTTTATTTTTCACGTTCGGCCTGCAGGTAGACGACAGCATGCAGAGGGTTTTAGCCAAAGAGAGATCATCTCAGTCTAAAGCCCTGGACCTCCAGAGCCAGCTGAGCCGAGCCAAAACGGAGCTGAGCCAACTGCAGCGAAACAAGGAGGAAGTAAGTCACCGCTGAATGCTTCTACATATGCAGGCAGGCTTCGATAAAACCAAGAGGCCAGCACAAAAGTATTTCAGGAAAGCTCCTTCTGGCCCATTTGGGTCAGTGGCAACAGTTCCACCAACCTTCTACAGCAGTCAGCAGAGGAGGTGTTTGAAACCTGTGGCAAACATGGAGAAAGGTGGAGCGGGAGCCACTTTTCACGTTTCGCTCATTTGCAAATAAAAACATAGTTAGGACCACGTGTTCATGTAAAATATTTTAAGATTAAGGCCAACTAGCCTTTCAAAAAAAAGTTTAAAACACAGCAGCTCCTCCGTCACAGATCACTGAGGAGCTCCAGCCTCACGCAGCAAGTGGCAACATGACGGAGACAGCGAGCTCAGGTGTTGTGAACGTAAATGTGTTTTCAAATTTCCAGCAGCAGCGCTCGTTACTATAATCACTATAAAAACCTTCGCAGGTAAAAAGCCAATCACGGTCCTTCATTAAACCACCTGTTCAGCAATCATAAACGTGAAGACAGTCATCCTTTCAGCTGCTCGCTGTTTCACAGAGTTTCAGGATGAAGAAAAAGCATGAAGACAAACTCCCAGCTCGGTTTCTCACTCTGGAAATCAGGAAGTCTTTGTAAACTTTGCTGCAGGCTGACAGCAGCTGTTCACTTTCTCTCTATATATTTCTGTTACTCTGGTTCATTGTTCATTAATTACCATCAGCTCCTCACCCATAAATGCTTTGAAGAAGTTACTGTTGCTGTGACACGTGTAAATGTGCGCATCACTCCTGTTTTTTTTTGTCCAAAGACACACAGACACTTATTGCTTTCACTGGTTTTGTCCTTTTAGTAAATCTGGGCAGATTTAAGGCAGCTTTGGTACTGAAACTGATACATCACATGATAATGATGCTCAAAGATGGTCAGAGAAAAAAAGGTGATGTTGTGATGTAGAAGTGTATCCCTGCCTTTGTTTCCCAGATGGAGCGGCGCTTCCAGAGCCAGCTGCAGAACATGAAGGACCGGCTGGAGCAGTCGGACTCGACAAACCGCAGCCTGCAGAACTACGTCCATTTTCTCAAAACCTCCTACGGAAATGTGTTTGGTGACTCTCTGCTTGGAAGCTGACAAGCAAAATTTATCCAGCCTGACCAGCAGTGATCCTCCCGAACTATCGTACGGGACATAAACCGCATTTATTAAAGGTCTGCTTTTGACTTGAAGGTTTCATGTTTTGTATGAAATGAATAAATTTGAATTTATGGATAAATTCTCAGTTATTAGTAGCCCAAACATTTTATTTATGTATAACTTACCAGTAACTTAGCAACTGCAAAGCCAAGATAAGAAACTCCAATAAGAGTTTTTATGATTTACAATATTCTTGCAGATTTACAAACATAAAAAATTATGTGGTTTATATTATAGCATTTTGTATTTTACACCAGAGTGTCATTAAAGTCAATGTAAAAAAAAAGAAGAAAAACAGACTTGTTTCATTTATGTTAGGAGGTACTTTTGGAACATTATATCTACATTGTAAGACTACAATGTAGAGAAATTGGACAAAAAAACCAGCGTTTTAGTTCACCACAGCATGTTTTACCCTGTTGTTTTATGTGTGTCAGATAAACGAGAACAGTCTGTGAAACATATCAATACAAAGACTGGATGTTTAAAAAAGAAGGAACATCTAGGGCCTGATCTGCTAACGGTCTGCGGCAGTGCAGTCTTCTTTTGGCCTTAAAAAGCATGTTTTATACCTGTTATGGTTATGATGTTTGGTTCTAGAAGTTTTTTTTTTTATTTTCAGTTTCCAGTCCTATGATCAGTACTACTTGGATTTTTATGAAGCAGCAGAAATGAACTTGTTTCTTGGTAGAATGCTGATTAAGTAAACTGGATAGTCGTATAGAAATTATAGAAATATTACTAGAGAACCCTGCGACTGCTTGTAATGAAACACATGTTATTTTCTTGTGTTTTCCTGCTGAGTACTGAGCCAGTAAAACCCTTTTCTTCTCCCTTGTTTAGGATTTCTATGACTGAAGTCAAACATCACAGTAAACATTAATTCATGATAATCCTACAGGCTCGAATGCAAGAATAGACCTTATCAATCCAAACTGAGTTATACTGAACCTTGAAAATACTTTGATCAGTTAATATAGCTCATAATCTTGATTTAGAGAGTTTGTATAAATCTATGTTCTTCACGCGAAGCAACTGGAAAAGAAGCAGATTTTCTTACAGCAGTTCAGCTGTGAACTATAGGAAGGCGTTTTCTAATTTCCTTTCTTAATAAAGGAAAGTGAACCTCGGGTCACGTCACTCAGTTAGGAATCTTTCTTAGCAAAATGGACTGTGGGAACCTAATAAAGAAATTATCACAGTGCATAATAGAGTTATCTCTATCATTTTGTGATGTGTGATTATACAGATAGCAAAGAAATAAATATATAAAGGTCCCAGATGGGAACTTAGTAAAGTCCGGTGGTTTCTCTTCGGATTGTATTTTATGTAACGCCGTATGGCGGATTCAAACTTGACTAGCATTACTGCTAATCAGTTGTAGTTTTTTGTGTTTCGCGATGCCTTCTGAAAGTCTACGATGGGAAACTTTACAGGCCTTAAAAAATTCACCAAAGGGGAAAATCTCCTTCGACCCATTCTGGTTGGAAAGGGGAGAGGTGAGTTGCCGCCAGGTAGCTAAAAAAAAACAACTAGAGCTAGCTAAACGGTAGCTAGTTAAAGTTAGCACGCTACGCTTGTTTAGAATAATCACTACAAGGGTGGATTTTATTCAAAGTGACAATTTAATCATTTAGATCAGGCAGTAAGACGTCAGCTCAGAAGCTAATCAATAAACAGTGGT